TGCTTTCAAATTCTTTGTTCTCATATTTTGCCATTTTCACTATAATATGTCGTGCAGAAGATCGATTCAAATTATGTCTGAGGGGAGTTCTCTGTGCCTCTTGGATTTCAACGTTTACTTCCTTCCCCAGGTTGGGGAAGTTCTCTGCTATAATTTGTTCCAGGATCCTTCAGCCCCTTTCCCTCTCTCTTCCTCTTCTCGGATTCCTATGATATAGATATTGTTGCGTTTGACTGTATCACTGAGCTCTCGAACTCTTCTTTCATGTTCCTGGATCAGTTTGTCTCTTTTTTTGTCAGCTTCTTGTTTTTCTATAATGGTGTCTTCTAAATCACTTATTCTCTTTTCAGCTTCTTCAATCCGTGCATTGGACACCTCCAGTTTATTATGTATTTCATTTATCGCATTTTTTAATTCATCATGCCTATTTTTGTTCTCCATGTTGTTTGTAGCCATAGTTTCTTTGATGTCCTCTATGCTTTTTGCAAGCCCAGTGATTAGTTTTATGATTATTGTTCTAAAATCTCGTTCAGTTATGTTGCTTATATCTGTTTTGAGCAGTTCATTACTGTCAATTCTTCTTGGAATTTCTTTGGAGGAGAGCTCTTTCATTTTGTTATTTTGGTTAACTTTCTGTCTCTTGTTAGTTTTAAAGACTTGTTATGCTCTCTACACCTGTGCAGAAGCTTTTAATCTTGATGAGGTCCCAATAGTTCATTTTTGTTCTTGATTCCCTTGCCTTTGGGGATGTGTCAAGTAAGAAATTGCTGCGGTTGAGGTCAAGGAGGTTGTTTCCTGCTTTCTCCTTTAGGGTTTGGATGGTTTCCTGTTTCATATTCAGGCCCTTTATCCATTTGCAGTTTATTTTTGTGTATGGTGTGATAAAGTGGTCTAGTTTCATTCTTTTGCATGTTGCTGTCCAGTTCTCCCAGCACCATCTGTTAAAGAGGCTGTCTTTTTTCCATCGGATACTCTTTCCTGCTTTGTCATAGATTAGTTGGGCATACGCTTGTGGGTCCACTTCTGAGTTCTCAATTCTGTTCCATTGGTCTATGTGTCTGTTTTTGTACCAATGCCATACTGTCTTGATATTGACAGCTTTGTAGTAGAGGCTAAAGTCTGGGATGGTGATGCCTCCCATTTTGGTTTTCTTCTTCAATATTACTTTGGCTATTCAAGGTCTTTTGTGGTTCCATACAAATTTTAGGATAGTTTGTTCTAGCTTTGAGAAGAATGCTGGTGCCATTTTGATTGGGATTGCATTGAATGTGTAGATTGCTTTGGGTAGTAATGACATTTTAACTCTATTTATTCTTCCAATCCATGAGCATGGAATGTTTTTCCATTTCTTTGTGTCTTCTTCAATTTCCTTCATAAGTTTTCTATAGTTTTCATCATACAGATCTTTTATATCTCTGGTGAGGTTTATGCTTAGGTATTTTATGGGTTTTTGTCCAATTGTGAATGGGATCTGTTTCTTTATTGGACATGCATGTTGACATGAATTTAGAAGACCAAGGTGACACTCCCAGCCAGGCCCACTAACCACCAATAATGTGAACTTACACAGGTAATTTAATCATCCTGAGTTTGGGTTTCTCATTTCACAAATGGGATAATACCCTGCATGGGTGGAAATTAACATAGTCAAGATCATGGGGAGGTATCAGGCTACACAAGGTCAAATTCAAGCTTTACCACACACTGGTTGTGTAATCTTGGGCTGATTATTTATGAAGTTCTCTGAGCCTTGGTTTCCTCAGCAGTCAAACTAAGAACAACAGTATTGCCTATCTCATGGGTCATTCATGAATCTTAAGTGAAATCTTACACACAGCCTGATACATAAGATAAATGTTAGCTCTTGTCATTGGGAGGGTCAAGTGAGAGGATGTATGTAAAAGCATGTTAAAAACTAAGGTCCTAAAGGTGGGCTGAATTGGACAGGGTGATCAACTCAACCTGGGACAGCTGGACCTTGGACAGAAGATCCATATGTTAAAGGGTCACTGAAATAGGCTTCCTGGATCTACCAGGGAAAAGATTTAGCCTCCAGAGAGCAGTGAGTAAGGACAGTGAAAATTTGGGTTCTTCTGATTCTAAAGTGTCAGCATAATATAAATCAAGCCTTCCCTTAAAGATATAAATAATCACCTGGTATTTATCAGCTTGGATATTTTTATGGATCAGGTTTGGAAGAACCTCAGAGTGCTCCCAAAATTTACCAATAAATTTGTTACATAACTAATAGTGATGATGATGATTACATTAATATCAGTTGTTGAGTAACATACTCCAAAAAATTTACTTGTATTTCTTTTTTTAATGTTTGTTTATTTATTTTTGAGATAGAGAGACAGAGTGAGTGGGAGAGGGTCAGAGAGAGAGGGAGAGGGAATTCCAAGCAAGCTCCACAGTGTCAGTGCAGAGCCCAATGCAGGGCCTGAACTTGCGAGTGGTGAGATTATGACCTGCACCTAAACAAAGAGTCAGATGCTTAACTGACTGAGCCAGGTGTCTCCTTATATTTCTTCACTAATTCCTACACTAGTATCATCAGGTATATATAATATTATCCTCATTTTACAGTTGAGGAATCTAAAGTTCAGGAAGAGTTAATAATTTGCACATATTGGAGCTGGAATTTGAACCCACATTTGCCTCATGCAGGTTCTTTTCCTCTACACTACACTATCCTCCTTCATACAGGTTTGTCACTAACCTCTTAGGTTGCTAGCAGCACATAAAAGAAATTAAAAGCCTGATACCAATATTTCATTTCTAATATATAAATACATTTCATAAAATAATTGCTTTCCCTCCCCTTGGCTGTAACTATGTTTTTCTTCTCTGTTCCAACCATTTGCACAAATAGGAAACTGCACATTAGGCAAAGGTCACATGGAAGGGAGTGGATAATGTAATTTGCAGAAGGAGAAATGTTATGATTAGCTGATATTTTTAGAGTGTTATCTTTCTTGTTCACAATGGGTTTTGGTTTCTAGCCTGATGAAATGTAAATTTTACAAGGTCTGAGGAAAACTAAGAGTTGGGAAACTGATGCCAAGAATGAGAAAATATAAGGCTCACTCGTAAAGCCTATCTGAGAGGTGGGGGGGAGGATAGCAGCTGCGGCCTTTCAGAGTCCTGGCAAAAAGCTCAGCTCACTGTTCTGTCTTGTTTGAGGGCTCTTCCATGACATGACTCCCACTGGGATTTCAGACATATAGGTGGGCTGCAGGATTTATAGGGAGGCATGACCATCAGGAAACTTCCTTTAAACTCATGCTCCCATACTTCAAATGGACTTCCAGCACTGCCCAGCCATCCTACTATGATTTTCTAGCATGTTTTCCTCCTTCTTACATGATTCATTCACACCTTCTCCTCTCTTCTCAAACCTTCCTAGGCCTCTCTGCCACACACTCTGAGCAAATGACCTTATCTTACTTACATTTTATAGAGAAAATTTAAACTATTGGATAAGAGCCCTCTCCTCTTCCTTCACCAGATCCCCAACTCACCATCTTCATCTCCTTCCTCCCTTTGTTATAACGAAGAAAAAGTGTATCTATCTTTCTAAGATCTGTCCTACCTCTCTTTTCAAAGAATTTGTTCCTTTAGTCATCCCCTTTCTCTCATTCCTTCTACTAGATAATTTCACTCCAAATCCAAATGTGCTTTCATCCCTTAACCCACTTCTTCAGCTATGTATCCCCACAAAACACTCTTACTCCCCTATCTAATCAAATTACTTTGTCTAGATCTTCCTCTTTCACACCATTCCAATCTGTCTTTGGCTTCTGTCATTTCACCAAAACTCTTCTTGACCTCCATATTATCAAATCTAATAATCACTTTTTCTGGACTCATCTGACGTGGACTCTCAGAAGTGAATGTGTGACACACTTAACTCTTCCTCCTTAACATGTTCTCCTCTCTTGGCTCCCAGAACTTCACAACTCTCCTGGTTTCCTCCTACCTGTCTGGCTGCTACTGCTCAGTCTCCTCTGTAGGTTCTTTCTCCACCTGAGCTAAGGGCAGAGATGCACAGGGCTTGATTCTGGGTCCTCTTCTCATATTTCCTCATACTGTCTCCCTAGACAATCTTATCCATTCCCCTGGCTTTAACTGTCATCTATATTCTGATGATACCAAACAGTATCTCTAGCCTCTAGAGTTCTTCTCCAACTTATTTTGGTATAGCCAACTACCTACTTGACATTTCCACTTGGATACTTCACTGGCATTGAAAATTTATCTTGTCCAAAAGCCTCATTGCCTCTTTTCAGTTCCTCAAATATCTCTGCATCTTTTGTGTCTCAGGGTCTGCACATATCCTGCAACCTCTCCCTAGGATGATCTCTCCTTTGTTACAGATACAGCTGACTTTTCACCTTTCAGGTCTGTGCTTCAGCTACACCACCTCAGAGAAGTCTTTTCTGACAACTCAGTTGAAGCATATTCTCCCCTTGTTTTCTGCACTGCACAGAGTTTGTTTCTTTCATAAAATTACCACAATTTATAATTAACTATATTATTTTTTGCTTCCTCTTTTGGGCATTCTCACATGCTAAGTTCCACGTTGAAAAAGACCATTTTTAAAAATCATCTGATGTATCTCCAGCACACTAAGAACTGACTTAGTCAGTACTCAGTAGATACTTAAATGAATGAACCAATGATAGTCTACAGGAATGGAATAACTCTGAACATTTTGGCTCACCTATGGAGGTGAGCATCTTCTGGAGTAGGAATAAAGGTGGATTTGGGAGCATGAAGAAAAAGAACCTGTACATCATTTGATGTTTGCAGGTCTAGGGAGAATTCTTGGGCTAGGACCTTTATAAAATCTTGTCTCAATGTAGCGGATTGAAATGAATTCAGTCAAGAATTAGTTTCCCCACTTCTGATCAGGAATCAGAGCAAAGACATGGTTTGGTGTTCAGACACCCAGTCGTTCCCTGAAAGAACATCCTGTACTTCCCTCTTCTCACTAGTGGAAAGACAAATGGGGACCCAGATTGTGAAGCCTCTGCTCCCATGCAAACTTTGAGCTGTGTTGAGGAGATTAACCAAGAGACCAAGGCCAGGATGGAGGAGGAAGCGTACAACAAGGGGTGAGTCAGACTTTGTCAACCCAGAGATCACCTGGTAGGTCTCAGAAGATACCTTCCCACAGGCTTTTCCTGTTTCTTAAAGGATTTAGGGAAGCAACCAGCAGCCCTAGGAACTCCTTGCTTCAGTAAGGAACTATTGAAAAGAGCAGTACTGTTCGACAGGAAGGACAGGAGGAAGCAGGGTGAGAGGGTGTGGTTAGGCAATAATTAGACTGCCTTCTTTTTAGGCAGAAAGCCACCAGAATGCCACTGCTCAGAATAGTCTGGAAATAAGGCCCCTGGGTGGGTTCCTCTTGGTGGTGCCTGAGGCTTCCTGACACGTGCTCAGAGGAGTCATGTTGCTACCAACAGTGCCCAGGAGCAGCTGTAACTCTACTTTCTAGAACTTCCCCTGCCATCCCTTCTTCCTGTAAACTGGAGTCCCCTCAACTTCCAACTGTCCCCTATTGAGCTACAATAACACTTTGGCCCATTGTCAGTCACTGAGGGGACAGAGTAATAAAGCAGGCCAAGCCCAGCCAGGTAGAGAATGATCTCTGACACAATTCTGGCATAGCATCCTGGGATTTTCCTTTTCCACAGCTCCTGAGAAAGACATAACTTTCCACTGACATGGAGATTGTGGGCTTGCATATGGCAGTCATATACAATGTGGTGGGGTTTCCCTAGCCAAACCATGCTTGCCTTAAACATTCAGCTGTACGACAAGCAAAAAGCATATGTTCAGGGTAATACTGATCCTAGGATAAGGACATCAGAAGGATGTCTCTTGGGAAGTCATCGTTTTACCCACATCTATCCTCTATATTAAGCATGCATGGGGGTAAACACCTCCTTTGACTTTGTAAACACTTACTGAGTACCTCCCTGGGCCTAGTATGTGCTTATCACTTCCATAAAACTTCCCAATAAGCCATTGTTATGACTGTCACCTTCCCTAGGTCAAGCTATATGCCTGGCACTTCCTCAAAACATTCCCATACCCATGAAATGGGGTCCACCCTTTCCATTTTATAAGTGAAAAGCTGAAACACCCAGGTTACACAGAAAGTAAATGCACTGTTTTCCCTGCTGAACATTTTGTAGGATAAAAAACCGGTCAGGAGACTCTGCACCTACATTTTTCCCCTGTCAGTTTTGCCACATATTCACATATAAACAGGAAGGATGACTGAGGAGTGAGGGGAAATTGCACTGACATGAGCCACCTTGGGATTCAGTGGAGCTTCCCACCTTTTTCCTGTTGTGTAGAACTACAGGAAGTGTATAATGATTGGAGGTGTTCAAGTTCCCACCTCTAGGAACTCAGGAATGGATGCCTCGCCTTTCCAGACTCAATTGTTCCTTTTTGCCCTGCAGATACCAAGAAGGTCTAAAAAAGACCAAAGAGCTTCAAGACCTGAAAGAAGAGGAAGAAGTACAGAAAGGTGAGAGTCTTGAGGAAGCTGAAGAGGCAGAAGAAACTGAGGAAGAGGAACAGAACCAAAGAAGCAGGTTGGAGTCCTTACCATTGCTGAAATGGGTCACAATTTGTTTAACTGCACAGCATCCCTAGAGGGCAACAGTGGGTCTTGGTGCCCAAATGAGCAGCCAATAGAAACCAAGAAGGGCACTTTTTTGGGGAAAGAAGCAGAGGAAGGATACAAAATAGTTAAAAAATAAATGTTTGCAAGAGCTGAGAGGGTCAGAGGTAGTCAAGAGTGAGGCCAAAAATAATCAAGAGCTTAGGAACTAAGAAACTGACTGGAGTCCCCTCTTGCCCAGCCACAGTTAGCACATTTCCCAGATATCCCCATGAAAGAGCCTAGGTCAAGGGAGCTGTCCTGAAGCCTTACAGGTGGTTTCTTACAGGAACAGGGGCAGAGAGAACACATAGGGGCAGGAGACAAACTCAACTCACTGACAAAGGGGAGTCTCCAGCAGATTCCACTTGGATTGGAAATACGTGGGCTTTCTTTTTTAATATACTTTATACTTCAAGTGTCTGTTTCCCTAAATCAGGGGAAAACATTTAACATGTAGACAAATATAGTATAGATCCCGCATCTTGTCCTACCTGTGCCCTTGTAAGTGTCCTGTATTTTAATCATAGCCCCAATTTCATACATTCTGCCTTATTGTTTCTATTTATGTTCGATTTTGATTTTTAGAAATGTGGTTACAGAAAACTTGGAACACTTCACCAAAATCTTTGTTTTTAGACTTCCCGGGCTATCTTGGAGTTCAGGGTGGCTCCAGCCAAAATGATTAATTATCTATTCAGCTGCTAAACATGAAACAGGGTATGTGTTTGTGCCTCATTACTTGGCTAGTTTGAAATCACATGCATGCAGTGAATAAGGTAATAAAATTATTAGATTAGAAGTGAGATAGATATGCTTTAAAGCACATGGGAACAGTCAATAGAGCCCAGTTGGTAGAAGATTCAGCCAGAGTGAGAGGTCTCAGCCTGCATGAGTCAACCCTAGTATTCAAGGGAGGAGCAGTCTAGGAGAGCTGAAGAAAATGCTTCACTGTTGAAAACAAACCTATGGTAGGATGCACCATCTCCCCTAATGAAAGAACCCCCAAGTTTTGACAGTGAAAGTACTGTCTCTACTCCAAGTAACTAGATTCTAGTCTCCTTACATCTTCTCTCCCTCTTGGGGGTCCTCTGCTCTTATTTTTTAGAGGTCACTACATGGCCTTCCTCCCCTTTAATGCAGTCAAGCCCAGGCCTGGACAAAAGCTCTTTCTTTGGCTTCTTTGAATATAGCTAAGACAGGCTAGAACTTCTAACACTTCCACGTATCGAGAAAGAACAAAAGAGAATTAAATAGAGTACATGGAATATAAACAGTTTGGTTTACAAAGCACAGGACTGGAATCCTTATCTAGCTAATTTGATCTCAGGCGATTAGTAGCAGTGAAACTGCAGGGGAAGTAAGGCTGGATCTGAGTCCCTCCCTGTCCAGCTCCTGGTCAGCAGCACATAGCAATGTCTGCCTTTTACATCCATCATCCAAAAGTATCCTCGTGGTCCTGCCAATTCTGAGAGTTCTTGTTCTCTCTCCTAACCTTTTCTCCCTCTTGGATTTACTTTTGGATCTTGAGAACATATCTGTATCTTAGGTGATGGATACCAGACATCAGCACAGCCCTCAAAAGGGTCCTCATCCTTCATCATAAGGGTATAGCTTCTCCTTTTCAGGCCCAGTGGTGTGGCATCATCTTTTCTGTAACAACTAACACTGCTAGCATCTGAACTGCCTACTCAGTTATAGAGCTTCTTCCTCACCTGTCACCAAAGGAGACTGGCCCTGAGAGCCTATTGTCTTCAATACCAGGCAATCATTCCTGAGTCCTGTAGACACATAGTTGCCTACAGGCACCTGCACTCAAACATGATTTTCCCCCATGAAATTTTGGCATTGCATTGATAAGCAAGGTTTAAAGTTTGGCATTGTATTAATAAGCAAGGTTTAAAAATTCCACATCTTACTTTACTTAGAGCATTTTAAAAACACTGGGCTAACCCTAGCAGTGAACTCCTTATTTAAGAGATTCCACATCTAAAACTAGAATCTTTTTTGTCTGAATTTCTACTCTGTTATAAAAATATACAGTTGACCCTTGAACAATGTGGGGGTTTGGGGTATCCATTCTCCACACAGCAAAAAACTCAAGTATAACATTTGACTCCTCAAAAACTTACTACTAATAGTATACTGTTGACCTAAAGCCTTACCAATAACAGTTAACACATATTTTGTATGTTACACATATTGTAAAGTGTATATTTACAATAAAGTAAGCTAGAGAATGTTATTTAAAAAAATCATAAGAGAAAATATATTTATGGTACTATATTGTATTTTTTTAAGTTGCATAAAGGTGGACCCATACAGTTCAAACTTGGGTTATTCAAGGATTAATTGTATAATAATGTAATCTGTTATAAACATTTTTTTCTGGAGTATCAGCTTAAATGAACTTTGGGTGAATCAACCCAATATCTTAACCATATTAAAATAGAGAATACAGTCTTCTGAAACTTATAAAATACATTAAACAAGAAAGACAAAGTGCAATAGAAAACTTTAGCCTCTTCTGCCTACTCAAATCTGGTTTATGGGGTTAAGGTCATGTTAGGCAGATTTCTTTACTTTTCTAGTGACTTTCAGAAAGCAAAACTTCTCTGGTCAAGTTTAAGCCCCAGTAATAATCTCAGTTCATTAATTAAAATGGCCAGTTCCCTAAAATAGTCAAAAGCCTGAACTTATAAATTTCAAACTACTTTTTTCCCCCAGCTTGTCTGCTTCAAGAAGGAAGCCTATATAGCAGGCAGGGGGAGCATGGCTTTGTTCTCTCTTTCCCACCTGCATTTCTATCCTCCCCCCTGCCCAAGCTTCGCCAAATGCAGCATCTGACTCTCTAGGACCAATGCTGGGAAAGAGAATTGAGATGAAGGGGTAAGGAGGGTATTATTTGAATGGTATTGTGAGAGGGCTCCAGGGATTGGCAGGGGTTTAAAGCTGACTTGGTAACTTTGATTAGTGTATTGCTCTATGGAATCTTTAGAGAAAATCATTCCTCCCACCTCCCAGCATACACACACATTCACACCATGGCCAAGGTCCACTCAGCTGCTAGTCCCTTTATGAGGTTGAATGCATGTCTTTTAGCTGGGCACTTAAAATGCCTCTCAGTCCTTGGACAGCTAGAAGTATACCTTCACTATTCAGCTTCAATGTAGCATTTCTGGGCAGGATCTGTGATGCCCCAAGCCAGCTCTCCTCCTCCTGACTACATTAAGTCCAGGTAAAACATTGGCCCACTATGGGTAGGACAACTTTCCCTATCATGGCTCACTATTCTGATGCCATCAAGCACACCACCAAGATTCTTGCTTTTCTAATTGCTCATGTGTAAGGCACACACCAGTCCACTGTGTCCTCCAAACTTCCACATACTGAGCTCTCCAGCAGTGTCTCTGAAGCCTCTCTCCCCAGGCCCAGGTGAAGGGGAAGCCACTTCACTCCTCCCTATGGGAGATCAAAAATTAAAAAAAAAAAATCGATTTACATAGGGATTCTATTTCTAACCTAATTCTATTTCTTATTCTTTTATAAGCTAGAAATGGGGGACCAGCTAAAGGCCACAAAGCTAGATCCTGACCTCCTCCTCTGCAGTCCCACTTAAGAGTAGGGTTACAGTGGGATTCTCCCAACCCTAGCAACTTGTTTTGGAGCATGGAAATACAGCCCAAAAGAAGGACCAATGATATCTATGTAGAAGCTAAGGAATCTAAACAGGGCTGAAAGAAAAAATCTTCCATTTCTAAGCTATCCCTTCCCAACAGTTGTAAAAATGGACAATGAATTTCACCTCAGCTAATGTGCTCACTGTTTTGCTTTGCTTAACTCTTCCTGAAACAATCATTGAATGGTTTCCACATGGAAGAGAAACCAATCAGTACCTTAGCATCCAAGGCAGGCACTCTGAGCCTCTGATCTCTTTCCAAGGAAGGTATTTGTTGAGTTTTTCCATGGGTCATAAGGCATATTTTTACTACAAACTATATTAGATCTGTCTACTTCTCAGCAAATGTCCCACATATTTCAGTATCTATGTGAGCCTGGAGATCTTCAGAAAGCCTTTTGTCTTCTCCATTTGGTGATCCTCAGTAACCTTATTTTTTATATTATTATAAAAAATAGATCAGGGATTGGAAATAGGAAAACAATTCTAGCCTAATGAATGTGTGCAGGATTTCTCTAGAGAGCTTGAAGAATAGATTCTGTGAAGCAGGCCATATGGTCAAATGTCTTTTCACTAGGCCACAAAGAGAGAGGGAAAGTTGAAAGGCAGTTGGGAAGAGAGCAAGAAGGAAAAGGGGAGTGAAGCAGCCAAAAAAATGGAGAGGGAGACAGATGAAGGAGGAAAGAGAAAAAAGAGAGAGTAGAGAAAGGACAAAAAGAGGAAGAAGGGAAAATAGAGAATGAAGATGAATGATGTTGAGAAAACATCTGGAATAAGCCACTGAGAGGTTGCTGGAGGCTACTAGTCCTCTGGTTGCCCTTGGGATGGTTTGAAGTGAGCTCTTGAGGTTGATCTGGTTTCTTGTCATTTATTATTGAACATGGAGGGTTCTCTAAGGGTTTAGCACAGTTCTTCTACTCTGAACACAGCCAAATGTGGAACAAAATATGCATTGGATCATGGAGGCAGGGGACAGAGTAAAACTTGGAACTGATCTCTAAATACCACTAAGCACAGAAAAGATGCTCGTCCCATCTGCATGCATGGGAGTGTAGGTCAGCTAACCTTGTATCCCGGGGGTTGGGAGAGTTCATACATTAATGACCATCCCATGAATAGATCAGGGTATGTATGTATGTATGTATGTATGGTCAAACAAGTAAATGGAGTATTCTAGCCCAGGAGTTCCCAATGTCAAGGCTATGGCATCAAAATCACCTGGGGAAAATTTTTAATATGCCCAATATACTAAGCCATTCTCCTATTTTTTCATTTGACAGCAAACTTGAAGAATTGGTTCATTTCTTACAAGTCATGTATCCCAAACTGTGTCAGCACTGGCAAGTCATCTGGATGATGGCCACAGTGATGCTGGTCTTGACTGTTGTGCTGGGGCTCTACAGTTCCTATAACTCTTGTGTGGAGCAGGCTGATGGCCCCCATGGGAGATCCACTTGCTCCGCAGCCCAGAGGGACTCATGGTGGAGCTCAGGACTCCAGCATGAGCAACCTGCAGAGCAGTAGGAAACCTGACACCAAGTCAGTGCCCTGCTCCAGCACAAAGCTGACTGCCCTTTCCCCAAGCATAGTGTTTCAGGCCAGTTGTGGGCATGCTGGCACCAGCCTATCAGGAAACAAGCCCAGGGTTCTTTCACACTCAGCAACCATGTGGGAGCTATCCATACACAGTAACTGATGTTCTTGGAGGATCAACAAAACTGCCCTGGGAACACTTCTGGTGGATGAAGTCACCTTCACCAAGGAACTCTAACAGAAAGGAAAGTCATCTGCCCCTACCTCAGATGGCTGGGGGAAATAAAACACCTTCACTGCAGGAAACAGTAAGAAGTTCACTCTCCCTCCCCTTTTTCCTCTCTGTCGTCAGAAATCAAAAAGAATTATGCCCAAAGGCTAACTCTGACCCTGAGGATCAGACCTAGAATGTGGAGTCAACATGAATATCATCCCATTTACCATTGCATTCTCACTGACTCTCCTTCAGCCTCTTTGCCTCCTCTTTGGAACTAGAGTTTCTCTTTACACAAGTAGGGAACGTTTTTCAGAAAAGAATATTTAGGCTGAATTTAGATCAGTGCTTGAAATGAAATGGGAAGATGTGAGTTAATATATATGCATCTGTATGCACACACAATACACACATACACACAGCATGCATGTGCATGAAGCCAACAACCTTCCAAACGTGTGTTCTAGGTGTGTGTTCTGGACAAAGCAACCCACAGATTTTTCACTAGGTGTGGGGCAGTCACCAGGCACCTGTTCAATGAGCTCTCCACATTGATTTAAGATGTTTGAAAAACACTGAAAACTCATAGCTGCAACAGTGAACTTGCTGGTCTCCATTTCAAGTGCTAATTCTAAGCTGTTGTACAATAATCTATTCCCTATTTGTCCTCTCCCATTGGGAACCCACCTCTCAGGTGTGATTTCAGCTCCTGTGTGCCAGCAAGCACATGTGCAATTATACCTTAGTGCTTCAGTTCAAATGGGATCTCCAACCCAAGTACACATTCAGAGCATTCCAATTATTTAGCATAAAACTGAAAGGAGTACATCCCATTTCCAAGTTGACTTCTTTACAGCCACTGCCTTCATTCATCCCTTATCAGTTTTGAGGGGTGTTGGTTTCTTGTGAGTTTTATTGTGGCTGTTCTGCTGTTTTTGTTTTGTTGTTGATGTCTGTTTTGTTGCTAACACTCATATAGAACTTATTATGAGCCAAACACTGTTCTATGTATTATACAGGTATTAATTCATTTAATCCTCAAAAAAAAAAAGAAAGAAAGAAAGAAAAAGAAAGAAAGAAAGAAAGAAAGAAAGAAAGAAAGAAAGAAAGAAAGAAAGAAAAGTAAAGAAAAAACCATGAGGTGGGTACCACCCTCCCCAATTTTCAGATAAAGAAACTGAAGCACAAAAAACACAACTAACTTGCCAAGGACATCTGGTTAGTAAATTATGGTCCTGAAACTCATATCTAGGCAGACTGGCCCCTGCACAAAATTGTCTTTTCCAATGGTCTCTAACTGCATACCTTATGTTTTAGTCCCACATCCCCAAGCTCTCCAACCACTCCAAACTATTTCCTGTTCTCATAGTTCTGTTCCTCAACTCACTTGTTTTTCTTCTGCCATTCTCCTCTTTTCTGCTGGTTACCCTTCAGGACCAAGTGCAAAAGTTATCCCTGATGTACAAGCTTTGATGACTTTCCTCCAACTCCCTACCATACACCACATAGGTCACACCCTCCTCTGTGCTGACACTTTTTAAACATCATTATTTACTGTTATGACAGTATATCACAATAACTTATTTAACTGTCTGTCTCCCTGTTTTTCCTCAAAGACAAGAACCATATCTTACCCATTCTCTGGGGTAAGTACCTAGTATGGTTGCTGATGCATGGGAGGGTGTATTAAATGTTGATCAAAAGAACAAGTGAGCATTCAAGGTGGTAGAAAGCAGCCTGGGGACAGCTGACATTATGTATACCTCCCAGTTCCAGCACGATCACTGCCACTATCTCAGTGAGAAAAATAACATCTTTATTAGCTCCAATTTATCCTAATATTTTTCAGTCTACTCTGTGAGAGAACAGAAATAAGACCTAATTAGCAACACAATTTCCATGCTCAAGGACTACACTTGATGCAACCACTCCTTTCAGAAAGACCCACCTAGATCAGCCCTACTATAAAAACAGCATGTTGTTGGCTCGGGGGTTGGGGAGGGAGGGGAAAGGCATCCATTACAGTGACTAGAAAACCACTGTGAGTGAAGCCCAAGCTAGGGTTGACCAAGAATGTGCCATTAAGGTAAAGAGGTGCAGATCAAGGCAAAGGGACTTAGGGGTTTGGTTGGATGGTTTTCCCTGCCTATTCCAGGGGGACTGGACACACTGAAAAATCTTTTAGGCCCTCAGAGCCACAGACATGATGCAAATGGAGCTCCAGAGACAGTAGCTGTGGGGCAGGACTCTATGATGGCAATGTCCAGTCTTAGCCTCCCTTAAAGGAGGACCAGGCTGAGCTGGCCCATTGTCCACTTGGCCACAGGGTTCCAACCTTTGCTACCAATTAAAACAAAAGCCAGGAAAACAGCTACAGGGAGCTCCTGAACCTCCAGCTGCTCCATAGAAAAGCCTGCAAGAGTACTTCCAGACACAGGCTCTCATCCAAAGTGCTTTATGAGTAAGAGAGGTTGAAGAAAAGAAGAACTGTAAGAGTAACCATATTTCCAAGGGCATTCCTGAAAAAGTACTCACTGGCCTTTCTTTCCTGAAAAGCAAAGACTGATCTGAAACAGTTGGAATGTTTCCAAAGCAGCAGTGAAATAGAGAGAAATGGCCCTGTATTTCCATTGGTGATATTGATCTAAAATAAAAGTTCCCCTCAAAATGTCTCTGAAGTCTGATATTTCTGCTTAGCCCTAGGATTCTGGGTGCCTACCTTGAGTTTCAGAGTGATGTGCTGTTTGTGTCATGGTTGGTAATCACTTCCTAAAAGGGCCTTCACTTTCTGGCTACCACAATATCCTGTATACAGCCTGGAAGAGTAAATGGAGAGGGAGATGCTGGATTTGTGTATCACTGGCTGTCAGTTCCTAATGTTGTTAAACTCACACAGGTGTGCTAGCATTAAACTACAGAGTGTCACATACCTGAGTTTGAAAATAAAAGCACCTTTCCAAACCTTTTGCAGTAGCCAAATGCCTCCTCATTTTATGGAGCTAACCCACAGCCTTGCCCCCATCCTGAGTTAGATCCCCTTGGATATTAGTGCCTCCCAGAACCAAGCCAAAAGTCTCCACCCCTTGGATCACTATACTATGGGTTACCTCTTAAGGCTGAATCGGTTCCTTTCTCTCTCCACTTCCTCATTCCTGATCCTAGTTTCCTACACCTTCCTGGCTTATGATTTCTTTTTCAGGTGTACAATACAATGATTCAACAATTCCATAAATTTCTCAATGCTCATCAAAATAGTTACTCTTAATCCCCTTTATCTATTTCACCCATCCCCCCGCCCTTTGGCCACCACTAGTTTGTCCTCTGTATTTAAGAGTCTGTTTTGTGTGTGTGTTTCTTTTAAATTTTAATTTTTTTCTTTTATAGTCTATTGTCAAGTTGGTTTCCATGTAACACCCAGTGCTCATCCCAATAAGTGCTCTCCTCCATACTCATCACTCCTTTTCCCCTCTTCCCCATCTCCATCAACCCTCAGTTTCTTCTCAGTGTTTAAGAGTCTCTATGGTTTGCTTCCCTCTCTCTCCTTAACTATTTTTCCCCTTCCCCTCCCCCATGGTCTTCTGTTAAGTTTTTCCTGTTCCACATATGAGTGAAAACATATGGTATCTGTCTTTCTCTGCCTGACTTATTTCACTCAGCATAACACCCTCATTGCCATGTAGTATTCTATTCTGTAGATGAACCACATCTTCTTGATCCATTCATCAGTTGAGGGACATTTAGGCTCTTTCCATGATTTGGCTATTGTTGAAAGTGCTTCTATGAACATTGGGGTACACGTGCCCCTATGCATCAGTACTCCTGTATCCCTTGGGTAAATTCCTAGCAGTGCTATTGCTGGGTCATAGGGGAGTTCCATTGTTAATTTTTTTAGGAACCTCTACACTTTTAATTTTTTAAATGAACACATTTTGCTGTGCTAGAGACCGCTGAATTTTTGCAAATGTGATTTTCACAACTAGACTACATTTTTTTTTTCTTGCAGCCAGATGTGAGGGAAAGTAGACCTTCCAGATATAATTTCCTAAAAACAGATTCTCCTGCCCAATATTTCACATTGCCTTTATTCCCCCTCTGCCTACCAAATTCAGAGCATTTAGTTGGAGACTTGAGGTCTAAGAAGATCTCAGGACCACTAGATGGAAGCTGGATCTTTCAATGGGCACTCACAGAATTCAATTGTGACATAAGCAATAAATTAAATTTTAGTGTATTAAGCCACTGAAATTTGGTAATACTTGTTCTAGCAGTTAGCCTACTCTGACTAATGCATGGATTTGAACCAGAAATGGGGTGCTTCATATAGGTGCTTCAAATAGGGTTTGCACATATAAGTGGATTAGGAGGAACTTAATGGAGGACCATGGGGGAGGAGAAGGGGAAAAACAGTTGGGGAGAGGGAGGGAGGCAAACCATAAGAGACTCTTGAATGCTGAGAACAAACTGAGGGCTGATGGGGGCAAGGGAGGGGGAAAGGGGGTGATGGGCATGGAGGAGGGCACTTGTTGGGATGAGCACTAAGTGTTATATGGAAACCAACTTTACAATAAACTATTTAAGAAAAAAAGAAATGGGGTACTTCAATAGTAGGTTTTCAAAATATGAGGCACTGGTTTAGCAGTCAAGTAGCAAAAACCAAGAAAACTAATATCAGAATCAGTGACCCTTGTAGTGAATAAAACAGAAATACTTGGCTAGGGATTACCTATGATAACTTGAAAGGCAGTTCATGGGTAGCCTATAGCCCTAGGAGAAGTGGTCGGAATAAGTCCAAGTACTGAAGTATGTGAACCTTTATTGGCTGCCTTTGGCAAGGTATTGTGAAAAAAAAAAATGCTATCAGGAATTGGCTATTTGGAAGTAGAAAAAGAATATAGATTTTTAGATTGAAGGTTAGAAAGTCTGTTTCTAAACTCCAAACAGTAAGGATAAAAATAGCTTTCAGCGGGAAAGAACCAATAAAATTTTTCAGTTGAACTCAGATCAACTCAGCCTATGGCAAAGGTCAGATTAAGGATGTGGCCCTTCCACCTGTAGTTTCAAATGAACACAGTGTAGGCACCATTAAATTAGAGAAAGAGTAGGATGGAGCTGAGAAAACAAGGAAATATATCTTGAGAATTATGACTGAGAAAAGATTTGGAGTATGATTATTAGCACATGGAATCAAATGGAAGCAAAAATATCAGAAATCTAGGTTTGTGAGGGAATTGTATTTACAAAGAAACACAAGCCAAGATGAAAATGTTCAACTGTTCAAATTAGAAAACAACTTTTGGGATCTTCAGCTTACACCAACAGAAAGTGTGCTATACCTCCCCTCCATGCCACCCCCTCCCCCACCACAGGAGGGCATACTCCTTGATCTAGCTCAAATGTGGCCAAGGATGATTACATACAATGAAGGGCTACAGAGATCAGTGGACATGGGACATAGGAGTTTCTCCCAGAAAGCAGAATCAAGATATAATCAAAGGTAAGTAACTGTAGCAGGAAGAATTTCTAAAATTTCTCCCTCCCAAAAATATCTTATCCCAATCCCTTAAACTTTTGAATATGAAATATCACTCCTGTAATGTAATATGGTAAAGTTGACCTTAAAATAGAGAAATCATCTCGGTGGGCCCAATGTAGTCACATCAGCCCTTAAAAGCAGAGAGCTTTCTCTGGCTAATGGTAGAAATGAAGGTCAGAGAGATTAAAGGTGTGGGGAAAACACAGAGTCACTGCTGCTTTGAAAATGGAATAAGTCACACGAGAAGAAAAGCAGGCAGCCTCTTGAGCAGAGAATGGACCCCAGTTGACAGCCAGCAAGAAAATAGGGACCTCATTCCTACAGTGTCAAGGAAATGAATTCTGCCACCAACCTGAATGAGCATGAGAGTGGATTCTTCCCCAAGGCCTCCAGGTAAGAGCACACCACAGCCTATACCTTGATTTTTCTTTTAATAGTTTATTATCAAGCTGGTTTTCATATAACACCTAG